CAGTCCAAGAAGGCGCCCTGACACCACACACTGTGCAGTCAGACTCGCAGTGTCGGGGCAGAGTTGGGGCAGAGTCAGGGCAGAGTTCAGATGGCCGGCATGTGGTCACCCCACCCCAACTCCACCCCCAGGATGGCCTAAAGTGCAGGTCTGCATCCCCCCTAAACAATTATATTCATAGCCAAGCATTTTGATGTCCTTCTCTTTTTCCTATTTTCCTATTTTTTTCCCCTTTTCATTCCTTTCTTCCTTCCTTTTTTCTCTCTTTTCCTTCCCATTGCCCTTTCCCTGCCTGTTTTCTTTTCTCCAATTTTCTTTTCAGCAATAATTCAACAATAATTCAACAATAAAAGTAACAATAATTCAGCAGTGCTTCAGCAGAAGTTTATAGTAATTAATTTATTTATTTCATTTCTATGCCACTTTTCTCCCAGGAAGCGGCCTAAGGTGGCTTACAAGATAAAAACATTTCAAAAACATCACAGTAATTTTAAAAAAACAGCAATTAAAATAATATTTTTTAAAAATATAAGTTAATATAAAAACATAACAGCCCCTCAAATAAGCCACCCTGTCGTGATTTTATAAGGTACCTTCTCTCAAATCCCATATGTCTATTTCATTTGTTTCCCCCCTTATAACTCAGATGCCTATAATCTTAATCACATTAACATGCACTCTTAATAATGAATTAATTGACTGTAAATATTCTATACTCTTGGTGTTTAATATTTAATATTTAAAAAATGGTCCTAAAAAACTTACCTTTCTTCCGAGTCTCTTTAAGAGACTCTTAGCTTTAACTGCCATGGTTCTGTCTTAGGGAATGCTTGGATTTGAAAGTTAAGGAGGGGCACTTTGAATTCTCAGTGAGAGAGCCTGTCTCCTCCAAACTACAAATCCCACAATTCCATAAGATACATGCATGAAACTTAGGGTCAATGCAAATGGCCCCTAAGGGATGGCTCTGTGCTGCCTCTGGGAGAGCCAGATTGGGGCCATGGCAACCACACGCCGTGGCCCCGATCTGGCTTTTTGCCATTCCAAAAAGAGCAGGCAAATGCCGCTCCTTTTTGAGGCAGCAAAAAGCCACCCTTAGAGCCACTGCCATGACTCTTTTGTACCCCCTTGGTGCAGTGTGTGTGCACGCTGCACCAATGGGGCACCCTGAAGCTGCACGCTATGCAGTTGGGCGTGCGGCATCAGGGCAGAGTCAGGGCAGCTGACATGCTGTGACCCCATCCCAACTCCACTCCCAGGCCAGCCCTTTAGGCTAGTCTGCATAGGCCCTTAGTGGGACCATAGTTCTATAATTGTGTAGTGTGAAAAAGGCCGTGGTGTGCATTGCTGTAAGAACTACTTCTCATTCATAACAGTCCCCCTGTTTTTTTCTACAAAGGTCACTGCACATAGAGTGTGGCAAGGGGGAAATGTGGAGATCCAGATCTTGGATTCCAGCTCCTATCAGCCCTAGATAACATGACAATTGTCTGGAGGTGGCGGGGTTGTAATCCAACAACATCTGGAAAGCCACAGGTGCCTATTCTAAGTGAGAGTCATTCTGCTGTGGCTTTTTATTGAGAATGACTGAGCCAATCACAGTCAGTGCAAAAGACATGGCAGCAGAATTATCCTTTAGTGCCTTAAAAGCTAACAAAAGCATGCAGAAGGGCATCATTAATAGATAACAGCATAAGTCACTTGGGAGGATGAGTGGGGGAATGAATGCCCATATTAATAGCTCTGTAAGTGTTCAAGATATTCTGTTATAATTACTCAACAAAGATATGATCTTTACTTACCACAGGGCAGTATCTTCCCTCCAAACAATCTGTTCTGGAAAATGTTCTGTGATCACAATGTACTCTTGCCCCTCCCCCACAACCAAGATGACAGTAATGGTTGCTGATCATAATCATCCCCTTCCAAATTATGTTCTATGCTTATCTAGTAAATCCAGAAAATCCAAGGGTCTTCAGGTAGGCAGAAATGTGAAGCTAGTGAATGATTGGGTTAGTATTTCGTCCTTGTGGTAAGGATTGGGGGGGGGGGATTCTCTGAAAACCTGCTCATTTAATATCAAATGGAGTGCAACGGCAGGTTTTTAATTTAATTAAATATAGCAGCCTCAGGTAGCTGCAGGTGGGACCATTCAGTCATGCTTGAAATTAGAGGCTGGGAACAGCAGTCTTTGGATTGCACTAGAGAGACAAGTTGTGATTAAACAGGTTTCAGGACTCTCATATGAAAGCTAGAAAACTGTGCGGGATGGGCAACACCATCAGGGGGTTAACAACCTGAACCAATTCTCTACAAACTGGGCCTAGTCAACTACCTACATTCAGCTGGCTGGGACCCTGGCATGCAGCAGAGACCAATCTGTTCATGAAAAGATTGGATGGTTGTGTATGTGCAGGGGCACATAGAAGTATAGTATCTAGATCAAGGGGAGTAATAGTGCCATTGTATACTGCTTTGGTCAGGCCCCACCTGGAATACTGTGTCCAGTTCTGGGCACCACAATTCAAAAAGGATGTTGAAAAACTGGAGAGCATCCAAAGGAGGGTAACTAAAATGGTGAAGGGGCTGGAAACCATGCCCTACGAGGAACGATTTAAGCAGAGGCTGGATGGCCATCTGTTGGGGATGGTTTGGTTTGAGTTCCTGCATGGTAGGGGCTTGGACTGAATGGCCCTTGTGGTCTCTTCCGATTCTATGGTTCTATGTGTGTAGTGGTCAGAGCTCAGCAAATTAACTTTTTTGGACTGCAACATCAAGAATCCTCCAGCCAAATCGAATGGCCTTGCTGGGTACTGGGTATTGGATGTTTAACTATAACTACTCAGAATCCCCTAGCTAGATCCAATTGGGGTTCTGTGGCACTTGAAAATCACTCATCCATCCCCCTTCCACCAGGGAGCCACAGTGCAATTATGAATTGCAACAAGGTCATGCACATATTTTATTTATTTCATTTCATTTCATTTCTATACCACCTTTCTCCCAAAAAGGGAGCCAAGGCAGCTCACAAATAAAAATTTAAAGACAATTCAAATCAGTTATCTGAAAAACAATATAAAATTTGTAAACATACAAAAGTTAAAAATATAACTAGAACACACATGGTAACCCTGTGGATGAGACATCTCCAAGACTCCTTAACCTCCACTCTTCTGCTTAGTTCCTACAAACTCATAGCTATGACCGCCCTAATAGAGTCCATCCATCTAGCATGCACCCTTCCTCTCTTTCTACTTCCCTCCACCTTTCCTAGCATTATTGGTTTTTTTCCAAAGAGTCCTCCCTTCTCATGATGTGTTCAAAGTACAACAGCCTCAGTTTGGTCATCGTGGCTTCCAGGGAGATTTCCGTCTTGATCTGCTCTAAAACCCATTTGTTTGTCCTTTTGGCTGTCCATGGGATCCTCAAAACTCTTCTCCAGCACCACATTATCTCAAATGCATTGATTTTCTTCCTATTTTCTTTCTTGACTGTCCAAGTCTCACATCCATACATAGTAATAGAGAATACAATGGCTTGTATGATTCTAACTTTTGTGCTCAGTTGTATATCTTTGTATTTTAGGATCTTTTCCATTTCTTTCATAGCTGCTCCCCTCCCCCCAATTCTTAATCTTCTTTTAATTTGCTGGTTCCAATCCCCATTTCTATCAATATTTGGTCCCAGATATGAAAACTCTTTTATTATTTTTATTTCCTCATTGCTTAGGTCGAATTTGCGTAATTTCTCTATGGTCATTATTTTTTGCTCTTTATGTTCAACATTAAGCCTGTCTTTGCACTTTCTTCTTTGATCTTCCTTAGTAGTTATTCCAGGTGTTTGATGTTTTCTGCTAGTATTATGGTGTCATCTGCATATCTCAGATTGTTGATATTCCTTCCTTCTAATTTCACTCCTCCTTTTTCTGTGTCCAAGCCCATCTGATATTATTATACAGGTCCTTGTTCCTGTTCATCACACTGTGCTCACTGGAAGGAGGAGACTGAATGTGCCATCCTTCAGTGTCCCACTTGCTGATGCTGCACAACTTCTTAGGCTGGTGTAGCTGCTTTGCTTTTAAGGTGGGTTTTAGGAGGTCAGATTGGGAGGCAACTAGGCAGTAGGGGTTGTCT